TACTTTGTTCTTGTATCAACTGAATCTTCACTTGGTTCAAGGGTGATCGAATTCGAGGGCCAAGGCTATTTGATTCGTTTGGTTTGTATTTACTCTTTTACAATCAATTTCGATATTAATTTGCGCTTTCTCTCAGTTTGTGCCAAGTAAAATCACGTGTCCTTAAAATCACAATATAAATTCAATTGTTATCCGTTTTAGGGTAAAAAATGTTACAATTCCCGGTACAAATCTCTAGAAGAGTTCTAATTTATCTTTGCACCACAAGAAGGTAATTTGCTAATGTGTAAGTTTAAAAATCATAATGGGCTATGTTTTTGTTTTTTTAATAAATTTTTTATCTTTTCCTTTTTACCTCTTACTTTTGAAAGTATTTTTATAACACCGATCCCTAGGTTCTACAGTCTTTTTGAACTCAAAATGATGATATAATATGTGCCTCATAAAGGGTACGAAGAAAAAGAAAAAGAAAAAGAAGAATGAAAAAGAGAAAGTAAAAGCAAATATAGCCAAAGTTCTAGCTCCATTAGACTCCTACTGCGTTAAAGCAAGACTTAATAAATTTTATTCCAATATCTTCAAGCTCCTTAGCTTCCTCACCAAGTAGCCATTGTTGTTTCTCTTCCCTTAATTTCTGAAAACTTCTATACCATCCATGTGTATTGTACTAGTACTCAAAACCTTCATAAATTTGTTTTTTTTTTCTAATTGGTTTTAAGTTTATTTTTATTTTTTCCGATTATTCTATTATGTTACTATTATAACTGCTTGTCGCTACTGTTTCGTTCATCTTTCCTTGAGCAGATATCTGTCCGAAACAGTCACTTTATCCTACGCACTATATTTCTCAGACCCTACTTATAAGACCACGCTGAATTTTGTTGTTTTGTTGGTTTTAAGTTTTAAATAAATGATTTTGTTTGACTGTAGCTTGAGGGGTGTCTTTAATAAATGAACTACAGGAATCTCTGTGATGGCGCAATTTAAGGGTAGGCATTAAAAGTGCGCCTTAGCGCCCTCTGTTTCTTTTTCCTTATTACCCCACTTCCTCTTATTCAATACTTCTTCGACTCCAGCATCTCTAATTATCCTATTCTTTCAATTTCTTCAATTCACCCAAATATTCATAATTTTGTATTGCATTTGTTAATTCCCCTGTTTTCAAACTTGTAATTGCTTTTCAATTCAAAGTGGAAGAATTTGATTATATATATATAGCGAGAGATTGAGAAAATGCTTACGTGCATAGCTCGTTCGAAGCAACCGAGCGATGATTCGCGTGATCATCAACCTGAGAAATTCAATCCAAATTCAGCTCCGGCCAATAAACAAGCTGTTAAAACACTCACTTCTCAGGTACATTTCTCATGTATTCACCATAATAGGATCAGTCGCGGAACCAGAAACTTATATAAGGAGATTCAAAAAATTACTAGAATGTATTTGCACGGTCTAATTTTTTGACGAAGCGGATTCAATTGAATACTCGTACTTATATTTAGCTCCCCGTGTATCACTGATTGTTTGTATAGGAATTTTGGTGAAGTAAATATAAATTCTACATTTTTGTTTACATATTCGAAAATTGGACTAGAATTTATTTGTCAAATTGTGGTGTAGATTAAGGACATGGCATTGAAAGCATCAGGAGCATATAAGCAGTGTAGTCCATGTACAACTCAGCCGACGACTCTACGGAAAAACGGAAGCCAAAACGAGTCGTCGGACTCGGCGTCGTTGGATAAATTCCGTTGGTCATATAAGAGAACAGGGAGTTCGAGTTCGAGCTCGACGGCCGGGAGAAAGGAACTGGAGGCGAGGCTGAAAGGAATATCAAGCGGAGAAGTTACGCCGGTGTCGGCGTCGGCGAGTGGTCGGCGAGTTGAACCGGTCGTGTTCGTTGAAGAAAGCGAGCCGAAAGAGTGGGTGGCGCAAGTTGAACCGGGTGTGCTCATCACTTTCGTTTCGTTACCACGTGGCGGCAATGATCTCAAGCGGATTCGATTCAGGTAATCTTTTCGGAATTTTTTTTTTCTCTTTTATACTCTTTCCGGATTTTTTTTGCCTCTTTTAACGAGTATTAAAAAAATTATATCTTATAATTTTAATTAATAATGAAATTAATCATATTAACCTTAATTTGCTAGTTGTAAATATAATAAATTACTCCTACGCTCTTTTACTCTTAATTCTTTCTTGATATCAGAAAAAAATAAATATTGTAGACCACAAAAAAGTCAAAAAATCAAAAAAATTGTCTTAATTGTTTTATTATTATATTTTTTGTTTTATTCATGAGTGGTGAACCATTACTTTGGTAATTAATTCAATTTATTTTGGTTGGACCATTGTTTATTTTTTTTCTTTTAATGGATCAACAACTTTATTGCCGTCTATTTATCTTTTAGGCCAGAATCTAGATGGACTGTTTGGTGGAATTTATTCACATTAGGGAAGTACTTCTAAATTTGCCTTTTAGCTATTTTTTAGAGACGAACCATTTTGTTTTTGTGTGATATAGTTGTATGGGAAGGGGTGGCAAAACTAACCCAATCCCATTAGACGTGCAAAGTTCTAAATCTAAATTGAGTAAAGAAATCATTAGACATGAGTTGATATTTATTCCAAAACATAAGATACATTTAAAATATGCTTATTTAAAAGTTGAAAATATTGTAAAGATTTGAATCAATTTGGGCAGGTTGGGTTACAATCCATTGATTAATTTATATTGATCCAATCAATCTTAACTAAGTGATCTTTGGGCAAAATTGGACAATGACCTTTTTAACGAGCAATCAACCAGCCAAAATACTGTCCAAACAACCCATTTACCACCCCTACACGGGATTTCTAATTAAAGTATTACTTATTTCACCTAACTATCTTTATCACATTATTTAGTTCTTAAAATTAGTGGAGAACGAATTGAGAATCACTATGATTATATCATCCAATAGTGGGGATAATTAACGGTTCTTTCCCACTTAAGTATGTGGCTAATAGATGGATTCAGAATTTCAATTTTATAGGTTCAATGTTTAAAGTTCTTAACATTGAATCCATATATTTTTAAAGTTATGCGTTCATACATATTATTTCGTTACAATTTTAGTGAATTTCACACATAAATTTTTATTTAGCATCAAAAGTTATGGTTCAATTGAACCCATAAATTCAATACAACATCCGCCCCTGGATACGAGTATTGTCAATAATGGCAACAGTTTATTGTCAAGTTTACATCAAAGAGAAATTGATTTGTGTTTCAGACAGTCCATGCAAAAAGTTTTACGTGTGATTATTACCAAAAGAAAGCGTGCTAAAAGTAAATTTTGAATCTCCACCCAAATATCACCTTTTTTAACCTCTGTTCATACGGAGAAATTAGCAGGTGCTAATGGTAATTATGCCGATGATCATGAAAAAGGGACAAAAGAAAATAAGATTCCTTTTAAAGTCTAAAAAGCAAAAAATAAATAAAAATTCTAATCAAGCACTTTGGTGGGCCTGCTTTGATTGTGTTGGCAAATACCTTTTACTAATGTTGTCCTTTTGTCGGGAGTTGCCATCCTTTTATTTTCAATCTTGATCATGCGAAGTTCTTCGATTTTGTCTTCTTGTAAGTATTTGAGTGCCAGAATTTTGTCTGTCAATAGCTGAGAACAATTAGCATTCACACTTCCCCTGTCACTACAAAATTGGAGTGATTCTGAATTTTGGCTTCTAATGGAGGAACAAGACTGTTGATCTATCACTTTCTTGTTCTGATCTTGATCACAATGTCAATAGTGACAGCCATTTTAGGCGTGGAAAATAACTAGCAACTGAGTCTATGTTAAGGTTGTAATGCTAGAAAGTGGGAGCCAAGACTTTTGGGGTGCAATTGGCAAATGTTAGACCGAACCCAATAATTTTTATTCGGGATATGAATATATATGTGACTAAAATCTGTACTAATATTAAATTTTGAATTCATTATTCTAAAAGTACGATAGAGGTGTGTCTGGTATGAAAGAAAATATTTTTCTTGCAAACTCATTTTCCTCTAAGAAAATATTTTCTCTACTAAGAGNCACCCATACTCAACCCTGCCTAGCCCCAACCCCCAAGCCTTCACCTCCACCCCGTAGTAGTTGCCTAAATTATATATTTTTCAAAAAAATATTTTTTACTCACTAACCAAATAATAGAAAATATTTTTCAGAAAAAGTTTTTCATTTACCAAAGAAAATAAGTAATAAAATCACTCATTTTTTTCCATCATATCAAACACATCGGTCAGTGTTAGACTTCAAAGGCCGATTAGATCAAGTTCAAATCCTGAATTCTTTCACTGTACCTTAGTGCAATCCGTGGATCACAAGATTTGTGATAAGAGTCATCAACCTTCCGATTATCATAGAAAATATGTATGTAAAGTACGGTTGCAATTAATCATTGTTGAACAGTATTTCTTCATAATCTGTTCAATGGCCTGTGAGCCACTATCCGTCCCCGTGAAATAGATTTAATCATTTTCTAGGTTGGTGAGTGATAGGATGTCCTCTAAGCAAAGTCAAAGGTAATGAGTTTAATTTTATCCATGCACTAAAGCCAGTTTTTGAGTTATTGGTCCCCTTAAATTATGCAGGGGAATCCTTTTTGTCTAAAAGCTTGTGTGAGTGGTAGGCCATGAAAGAGGACACTTACTCCATAACATAATCAACTAATTAAATCACTTGCTATGATATGTTCAGGTTTTGACCACCAAAACTATAGCTGATCTCGTTTACTTTCTTCTGTTCCCACTTCTCCATTTATACCTTCTTACTATGACCATACTTTTACCTAAAATAGTAAAATTATACCTAAAACATTAAGCTGGTAACATAGCAGATGCTCAGGAGATGCATTGCACAAACCAAATAGCAATCAATGACCTAATTTCATGTTAAATGAAAGGCCAAGCTACCTCATATATAACAACAATGACAACAACAACAAACCCAGTGAAATCTCACAAGTGAAGTTTGGGGAGGTTAGTGTATATGCAGACCTTACCCCTATCTTATGAAGGTAGAGAAGTTGTTTCCGGTAGACCCTCGACTCAAGAGAAAAAAAGGAAGCAATAAACAAATAATAACATGAACAAGGTAATAGGACAGCGGAAGCAATGGCAAAGTATGTATAATAACAAAGATAAAAGAATACGAAAAATACAAGAATAGTGCCAATACTACCGGAAAGTATGACACACCGTGTAATAACAAGAAACTACCTCATATATGTTCACTTCATAACAATGTAATTCGATGAGAATAATAAGAAAATAGCTTATATATGTGTTATTAAGAGAAATTAATTGCACATTCCAAATTATTTTCTCAATAAATGCATCCAAATATCTGACTCGCGTTTATTCTGTTATAATAGTCGGGAAATGTTTAATAAATATCAAGCTCAGAGATGGTGGGCAGAGAATTGTGAGAAGGTAATGGAGCTTTATAATGTCCAGAGGTTGAATCGCCAAGCTTTCCCCCTGCCAACACCTCCAAGATCTGAAGACGGGGTACACATAATTCCTATTTCATGTTGTTTATATGCGCTTAATATTTGTTTCGTTTTTATTACTCTTTTTCGTTTATCATGAATATCAATTTTCTGTTCTTTCATAGAGTTCAAAAATTGAATCCATCGAAGACAGTCCTGTGACACCTCCACTCACTAAAGAACGACTGCCCCATACATTGTACCGTCCAATGTATTCATCTTCAGATTCTCTTGAACAACACTCGACGCATTCTCGCTACAATTATGATTCTTGTGGTGTTGCCTCAACTCCAAAACTCTCAAGCATCAGTGGAGCAAAGACAGAGATATCATCTATGGATGCCTCTATTAGGACTAGCACATCAAGAGATGCAGATCGCTCTGGAGAGCTATCCATCAGCAATGCCAGTGATCTTGAAACTGAATGGGTTGAGCAAGATGAGCCTGGAGTTTACATCACTATACAAGCGCTACCAAATGGAAGAAGAGAACTCAAACGAGTCAGATTCAGGTTAGCTTCATCTCACCACTTCATACTAATAATTAGTGAACTAAAACAGGCATATTTCGTGCAATAGTACAAATATTTCAAGTTACATCTTCTCAAATGACCTAAGTATGATGTGAGAGGGGATGGGCCTACTCGGCAGGCCTACTTATGCAGGTGGACCTCTAAGAAAACTGTCAAAATTATTGCCTCAAAATGCTGTCATTGCAGTTGCACTACTATTGTCCATTTTAAGAATAAGTGCTAAAAGAGCATTCTCACAAAAGTTTTCATCATAACATGCTTGACGAAGTGTTAATTTGTGTAGATGTATTTCACATACTTGTTTAATTTTTTCCACATTGTTATAATGCTTGATAGTAAGCAAAAGAAAGAGGCAAACTCAGTGTACAAAGCATCCCGCGTTTACGCAAGATCAGGGAAGAGCCGCATCCAAGTGATGTGATGTAGACAACCTACCCTAATGCAAGCATTAGTGACTGCTTCCATGGTACGAACCCGTGACCTATAGGTCACACAGAGACAATTTTACTGTTGTTCCAAGTCTCCCTTATAGGAAGAAGAAAAACATAAAGAGAGAACGCACTTATATGCAATGAGAACTTGGGACGACACTACATATTTTCCTGTATATATTTTCTCAAGGACATGGTCTCAAAGCTACTATAGCTACTTCTTCTGCGTCTCTTCACTTACTCTTTATGTATGCTGTTTCTGATTGAGGCTGATACAAGCTTATGCATGTCGATGCAGCCGAGAAAAATTTGGAGAAGTGCATGCCAGGTTATGGTGGGAAGAGAATCGTGCTAGGATACACAAACAATACCTGGGATAGGAATGCTTGAAAATATTGCTAAATTTCCCTTGTGGTTGCCAATTTAAGGAGATGTTGCCTACTTGGGTGTTGCATTTCTTTGGCAACGCCCAAAGTATATTCATTATATATATGGAGCCAGATAATAGTATGAGAGAGGCAACATACAGAGAAGAATCTAAGTTTTGTTACATTTGTGAACAACCACCTTGGTTGTTGGACACCATGTTCTTTCTTTCTTCCTCTTTTTTTCTTTGTTTAATTTACTTCGTCTATATTATGGTGGGTAAAAAGGGGATGGCAAAGAAACTAAAATCTTTCTTTTGGGTATAAGATTTTAAGGGTTGAGAATTTTGATGTTGATTGAAAAAAAGAAGAGATTCTGATGTTGGATATGCAAAAATGTTTATATACAAAGTCTCTTTTATGAGTTGCAAGCTTAATTTGTTGCTCACTAATATATGGTTGACGAGACATCCTCCAATGCTTGGTGAAAAAAAAAATGTAAGAAGTCTTCTAATGTCTTACTCCTAGGAAAAGCATGTGTAAAATCTTTTTTTCTTTTTTTTTTGATTAGATTTTTTGGTTGTTGAATACATATACATAGAACTGTTAGATAACCAAGGGTGAAATTAAAAAATAGTCAGATTTATAAGTGATAATTGAAAAATAGCCACAATTTCAAAAGTAATCGAAATTTAGCCACTTTTCATATACAGATAAATCTGAACGACAACATTGTTCAAAATCCAGAAAATATTCCAGCATAATATGTTGGAGTTCGAATTTTTTACATATGAACTTCCAGCACAATATATTGAAGTTCCAGCATAATATACTTCCAGTATAATATGCTGGAAATTTATACACAAGTGCTTTAATCTCTAGTATTGTTTACCCTAAAATGGATAACAATTGAATTTATACACGATGACAGTGATATAACTTGGTACAAATTAAGAATAAATTAGTATTGAAATTGGCAATAAAAGAGTAAATGCAAAACACACAAATTGAATAGCCTTGACCCTCGAGTTCAGACACTCTTGAACCAAAAGATGTTTCAACTGGCTTATGAATAGAATAACAAGATAATGAAAGGTAGAAAATGACACTATATTGCTTTGTATTGCGTGAATATGATGTCTTTTACAAATGATTAGACCCTTTTATATAGTGGGGAAGTCCTACTCGTGATGCAATTCTATATGAGGTAAAAAATCTCATGATTAGCTAATTAATCGGCCTCTTCTTGATACGTGCCGGATTTTCACCGTGATCCTCGCCCGATTGCGGATACTTCGGCTCTCCGTTATTTGCTTGGTAAGCTTCCCTCGATCTCACTCGATTTCTATCTTGCTCGATCTCGATCTTGATCGGTTTTTGGGTCGCGAGCTTGGCAATCTAACTTTGCACCATAGTTTGATAAAACACGAGGTTGAACCTTGGCCTATCATGTTTCAGTCTCGAAGGACAAGCCCAGTTTTGACCGTATACAGATAGTCCCCTCGTTTCTCGAAAAGAAGATGATGAGAAATAATATGAATTTTCGAGCTCCATCTCGATTGACCATGACGTAAGCGACGAACGTCACTAATACACCTGATCATGATGTAAGCAACAACTCGAAACGTCCCGTCGGTCTAGTTACCAAGGTATTAAATGCCTGTCAATTTCCAATTGGCCACCATGAGTTCTGAACCGTCACCGGCAAGCTATAAGTACTGTAACCTCCCTCTATTTCAAACTTTACATTCAAAGCTTTTGCCATTCTTACTTCTCTTCAAAAATCTCTTTGCTTCGCAATTCTTGCACCCAAACTTCTTGAAATTTTAGCAAACCGCATACCATCCTAATTCCTTTTTTTTCTACGATGGTGAAAACTTCTAAGACTGTACCGCAAAAGGAGGTTGCCTCTTCATCACGGCCCGCCGACAACGGGGCTGCGGCGGAGTATCCCCTTGAGGATTTCGTTCGGGGTGGGTGCCTTGTTGATACCCAATTTTGTCCTCATATTTTTCCAAATAGTATATATACTTTTAAAATATCATTTTGCATCATTATCTAGTTTACAAATCTATACTAGTATTTTTTCTACAATTCTTTCATAATTTTTATTTAAAATTAATTTTCTTGTATTTAAATTACATAAATATTTAGTAATTATCCTTTTAAATTATTGTGATGACTTAATAATCCAAAATTACTATTTTGGCATCCCCATATATGTTTCAAATATTTTTACTTTATTTTATATAATTACATTAGCATTTTAAAGCTATTTGCATAAAGTTGTAGTAATAGCCTGCACTCATGCATAATTGCCTTTTATTCATGTTATTTGTGCCAAAATAGCATTTTATATTTTTTGAATACCAAATCATTATTTTAAATCATTTTAGTGCATAATAATATTATTTATTTATTTATTATTTTTATAAATTATTTTGATAAATTATGTGTATTTAAAAAGCTGGCCCAAACTTTAAACTAATTTCTGAACCAAATTGGCTTAATATCCTTAGCCCAATAGACCCCAGCCCAAAGCCAAACGTCCCCTTTACAAGATCCGATCAGTACCCGTTTTATGACCTGCCCCGTTCATTTTTGAATCCTAGCCATTGATCTCTCAAGATCAACGACCCTCGTTCGCTCTCCTTTTGAATTAACCAAACCCGCCCAAACCCTATCATTTCCCCTTAACCCGCCCCCAAATCCTCTCTACTCTCTCTTATTCTGTGAGAAACCCTAGCCACGATATCTCTCAACCTCTCCAAATCCGGCTCTAAAATGGAATCAATCATTGATTCACTTACCTTATTGGTCTCCTCTCACTACTGATCGTCCATTCGTGGTGTTACTTAGGTGTTTGCCTAAGTTTGGCAAGTGAGATCTTCTGAGGTCGGACTAAAGTGGCTTGAACCTTTGATTTTGAGCATTATTTCGTCCATATACACTCAGGACCATGCTATGTGAGTCCGATTCAGTGAGATTTCTGTTGATTTGTGTTCTCCCTCTTGAAATAAGGTTTACCCGATTTCTCTCCTAAATTGATTTTGAATCGATTTTGCATGCTTTCTTTCCTTATTCTAGGTTTGATTTATTTTGTTTCCTTATTTGTTCATCCAATTTTACTGCTATATAAACCCCTCCCTATTTCTCTTTATGATAGACCATAATCGTTATATTTTCACTAAAAATTGGGTCTTTGTTGTGTTATCCCCTCATTCCCTTGTTCTATACTTTATTTTTGGCCGGCTGAAAGACAAGGCCATTGAGATTCTATTATTCAACCTTCTGCATTGCCCGGAGTTCCTTTGAAGCTCTTGGAAACTTTGACGCATTAAGATTCTGGGTTATTTTGAAATTTTGTTCTTTGTTGTTGTCCGTTTAGCTGATGAGTCATTTGACCTTTGCAATTTCGTTCTTATGTGTTTATGGTTAGCACATTCCTACTTCTAAAATCCACGGTTTAATGTGTTACTAGGCTACTCTTGTGTGCAACTTTGTTAGCTTTACACTCGTTTTAAGTCTCTTTAGCATTTCAATTTCACCAAATGTTGCTAGTTCTGAGATTGTGTATGCCTAACTTGAATAATTTGAACCCTCTTAAGTTTGTTTAGCTAATGTATTCTGGGCTACTCATGTATAAAACTTTGTTAGTTTTGTACCTGCATTATATCTTTTAAGTTCATATTAGTCTACTGGTCAATACCTGAATGTCCACATTACTGATCAACCAGAGCCTGTTTTCCTACTCTACTTTGAGTTCCTGCAATGACTGCTTCACATTTGTAACAGTCTGAGATTTGCTTCCCTGCTAATATGCCCCTCAGCATGTCTGTGGCTCACTTGATTCCATATTCCTTCAGTGATTACTTGACTTTAGAGTAGTTATCACAATTCGTGTCTCCCTACCATGTCTAAATGCTGTTTTATTTCCTGATGTGAGTTAACATGATTTTCTTTTGGTACCGGAAGGTATACTTAGCATAAATTGGACCTTTTTGGCTTTAACTTGTTTTGTATTATGCACATGTGTATGACAATCTTTGTCAATTTTGCAAACTTGTTCTCCCTAACTCTTTCAATATGATTCTGCCTATGTATTGTTTTGCTAAGTGATGAACCTGTTTTTAAGTCTTGTTGACCTTTTGATTAACTTTTTTATGCTTAAACTTTGCTATGTCTGCTTCCTAAAACTAAGTACAATTCTGTCCCTTAACCATTGTCCACTCACTCTCATTTATTATCTATGCTATTCTGAACCTACTATTCTTACTACAGACCGGCTGAAAGCCAAGGCCACCAAGACTCTTACTACTGACCTTCCTAGTGTGAACACTGCTCGGGGTCCATTTGAGACCCTTGTGAACTCTGACACACTAGGATCCGGGGTGTTTTAGCCACTCTCTCCAAAACTGAGATTTGAACTATCTCTAACACTCAATTTTTTCTTCCTACTATCTACTGGTTGGTTTAAGTGATTTAATGCCTGATAAATATGGTCAATCTATGGTCGTGTTATTGGGCTTGAGTTCTTCTATGGATTCTGGGGTTGTGCTGATGAATATGGTTCCCTGCTGGAAATCTAAGTATGCTATGTGAGAGTTGTTGAAGGCCCACGTAATGCTGGGTATTCCTTTTGGGCATGCTATGAGCCTACTGTCATTATTTGTATAATATTTGTAATCATATTCATTACTAGGACTGTAATAATTTTGTAATAAATAATTGGGGTATTAGTAAAATGGGGAATGGGTAGAGTCTAATATTTGCATGCAAGGGTATAAAACATGCCTATAGGATTCGATAATTTACTTGCTATATATGTCATTCGATGTGCACTATAGAAATCATGTCATTAGGAGAAGCACATGCACACTACTTGTCTACTAGCAAAACATGATTTCAAATGCTTCAATTATTTCTACTACTACGTGTTACTAGATAACATGCCTATAGGAAATAAATACCACTGAATTTTCTTTCAATTTGCACAACTGCAACACATCCAGTAGAAATCATATCTATAGAATTTTAATTACCTCATCTTCTATTATATCATAATGCTCATTTAGAAAACATGTCTATATGGGGTTAAGCTTAATAAAAATTGGTTCCAAGCGCTAATCGCTAGAGATCCTGCCTATAGGGTATAACTACTCGCTCTAAAAGGTTAATGTTGAACTTCTGAAACACTGTTTACTACTTATGTATGCCGTT